AAGGGTCCCCCTAACACGGGAGGGGCGGGGAGGGGAGGGGAGGGGAGGGTCCCACCCCGCGTGCCCACCGGCACAGGGGGAGGCAGCTAAAAGCGCCCAGGCACGCACAGCCCAACGCCCTACAAAGGGCAGAGGCACGTCCATCCCCGTGCTGAGCCGCACGGCCATCCCCCAGGACAAGTCTTCTTCAGAACAAGGCTCCACGGCCACAGCTGAGCTCTAAGTCTTGGTTCGTTCAGTAAAAACACCCCCGGCTACTTTGCACGTTCACCCTGCGCTGGGCGCCTGGGTGAGGCAGATCTGTGCTCTCCAGTTTTTACGCCTCAGAAAAAACATTGTAAAATTATGACTATGGTCAAGCACTGAAACTAAATAAACAAATTATTGAAATAATGAAATATTTAGGTAATGTTGAAGGGCTGGGAGGTGGGGTGTCTCCAGGAGAGGACATCCCAATGCTAATGCTGTTACATATTTGATCTTGCACCCCGTCGTCGTGCTGCTTTCAACCACTGTGCTGCTATCGTTGCAATTAACCCATATCCCGAGTTCTTCCTTCTCTCAGATTTTGCACTTCCTCAGCACACTGGCTGCTGCGCAGGATTCTTTTGCAAGGTGCCTACAGGTTACGCATCTAGAACTCGGTTTTTCCAAGAATTTGCTGATGTTGCAGGTCTGAGTTTCAGAGCGTTGAGCGCGGTTACGTGGTGCTATAACAGATTCCCAAAACGAGATGCTGTCCACAGAGAAAGCTTCCCGATGGAATTCATTGCCTGGAAATGCCTACGCAGCTTCCTTTGCGTGTCGAAGCCTGTGCTCCAGCCATGTGCTGATGGTGGCAAACACCACATCAACAGGACACGGGCACCCGCCAGGAGAAGCAGGCAGCGGGAGCCTTGGGGAATGCCCGGAGGAGCGGGAGGAGAGGGCGCGGTGCCCGCCGGTCCCACAAACGTTGCCTCCAAGCACGCTGGAGTGGGGATTGCGGGGGCACAACTCACCTGAGGCTCAAAAACCTTTAACTTCAATGTTTCAGTTTAAAACTCCTGAGGTTAATTAAATATGTGTGGTTTTTAAATCCTTTTATTTTGAGTTCTAGAGGAATTCAAGGGATCAGAGCCAAAGCATTAAAAATAGGGAAAGGTTTCCTTTGCAAGGAAAGGCCGAAGGCAAGTCAGGCCCAACTAACGGTTGGACTATCTAGTACCTAGACCAACAACAAGAAGATACTAAAGACAAGCTTACCCCTGCGGCTCAACTTTGGAAGCATGGCTTGCTGAGAGAGATACAAGTCACCTTCTGAAATGGCACGGGCAGGTGCTGCAGAGCCCCTTCCCAGCTGGGGCAGCTCTGCCCAAGTCTCTGTGTGCCAGCTCATTGAAGGTGTGCTGTTTCTCAGGATAATGTTGAAGTTGGGCTTTGAGGCAGGAGGTTCTCTACATTTCGGGTAGAAAACCTGAGGGAGCGGATCTTGGCATTTAGTCTCACTAACACGCAGGCACAAGGGAAAAAACACTTGAGCAAAAAAATTCTAAAAATGGAGCTTTATTTACAACAGTACAAGCAAACCAAAGCACCACCATTGTGAAGGCCAGGCTGTTCCAGCGGCCTTTCATCAGAAGTCACCTGCTTCGGAAAATCAAACCAAAGTCCACCGATTCGCCCCTCGTTCTTCCAAATGGGAAGAGTTCAGAGCTGCCACATCTTACCAGAGAAGCAGGAAGAAGAAGCAGAGAAAAGTCATTCCCACCTCTTTTCTACTTGCCTCCCACACACATTTTTTTCCGCCAAATGTGGGGAAAAGACAACACCTAATCCAGTTAGAGTGGTATTTTGTTAGGAGTTTGGTACAGCTGGAACAAAGGATGACCCAGTCCTTGTACAGGTCTGGACCTAGGTCAGTCCAAGGACAAAGGAATTCCTAATGGGGAGGGGGCCCAAGGGAAGGGCCGAAGGAAACATCCAGCCACTGCTGCATATGGGCTCGCTGGAGAGGAGAAAGACAGCAAGTCCGAGGAGGAATGCTTTAGTCCTGCAGAGGTGGTTGCTACAGGAAGAGAAGAGAACCAAAGAAGCGAAGACTTTCAGAAAGGAGCAGGTGGTACAGAAAATGGACAAGACCAAAGCAGCTCCGCTCAGCTGCTTTGGGAGGTGAAAGGTTTATACAGCAGGCAGTGGAGGTTTGTCTGAAGAGATAAAGAGTGTTTCTTCTTGAATTCTTTTTTCTTTCTCCCAACAGTATGTTTAAAGTTACAGATGTCTTGAGTCATAGGCAGCTTTAAATAATCCAGCTATGGGAGACTACAGCTGGGGTCGTGGCGTGAGTGCGCAGCCCAACGATCAGCCCCACGGCAGGCAGGGAGGGTGAAGGGAAGGTGGAATCCCCAGCTACTGCACTCCTGGAGCTGCGTGCACCGCCTCGGAAGGGGAAATCTGGCATGCACTGCATGTTCATCGGGAACGACCGCTTTGTAAACGCCACCGGTAGAGATCTGCCTTTGCCGCACCTCACACGGGCACTGCAGGCAGGGATCCCCGAAGCACTATGGAAGGCAAAGCAAGAGTTTCTTAGGTTACCTTCCACATGAATCAATAAATCGATCAACCCTCCGATCAAATCCTTCCTTGACCTACCAACAGCACCGTTCAGGAGTTTCACTTGACCTCAACCTCTGCTTTTATCTGCGCAACGTCTTCCCAAAGTGCTGTAATACCAGGGTACCGTTAACAACTGACATTAACTGGACCTTTTGCTTCCAGATTTTCTTTACACTGATTTCATAGTCTAAGGGAGTGCATTCGCAAGCATGTGGGAAGGTCCTGGGAGATACTATACATGTCAAGGTGGCTTATAGACTTTGGCCCTCCTTTCTTGCGGGGTTCATCCCCAGCTTTACCCAGAAGGGTGATAAAGATGACCAAGCTAGCATTTAAATGAAGTCTTGCTCCTCTGCAACTCTTCATGGCAACAATTAGAGTATCAGGGTCCAGATCTGCTGCTAATCTCATTTCAAAGCAGTACAGATTTCATTCCAACCCAGGGACACCAGGGATATTAACAGGTCTCCGAGTCAAGGGGAAACTGAGACCAGGCATCAGCTGAGTGGCCACGCTGGAATGTAACTCACACATCATAATTCCGAATCTCCTAAGTCAGCATCCTCAACTCTGCCACTTCAAAAGCTCAGCTGGTTTATTAAACTTCTGAGGATTGACAAGTCTCTGGATTTGTCAGCCCCATCTCCTCACAAGCCTAGTACCGAGTAGCAGGAAGGGAGGTAAGACAAAAGTGGCCCTTAAAAATAGGCTGCAAGACACAGACGACAAGGCAAGAGATAAAGGCATAAGCATTTAACAACATGAAAATTGTGTTACACATGAAAATCCATTTAGAATCAAACATCATCGTTTTATAAAGAGATGTCCGAGACCAGCCAGAACAGTGACAAGAAGCTGGTGGAAAGAAAAGTTACTTGGAAGGTCTGTCTGGAACACCTCAAAGACTCCACTGCAGGGCAGACTGAGAAAGGCGTTGAACACATCTGTCAGTTGTCGTGGGTTTTGTTCTGTAAACCTCGCAGAACAACAAGCTCAAGTCCCTGCTTTGGACACAAGGTAGTAGAGGATGAAGAAAACAACAATCAGTCCTGCTG